GCCGGGTCAAATCCATAAAGCTGGACTTCTGGGAGGATGAGCTGGTGAAGGTATGGGCGGCTTACCATGTTCCCACCTCTGTTATTATTGCTACGGCAACACATAAGTTCTTCAGGTGAAAGGACGACTTGGCTGTGTGTAATCTTTTCTGTGTGTCTTCTTGGGACTCTGTGAAGTTCATGGAATGCAATGGCAACGCCAATGCCCAGGCTTTGTATGAGAAAGCTGTTCCACCGTACTACTATCAGCCCCAACAAAACGACCATCTGTAAGTACTTATCCAGGATGTTGACACTGACTGTGGAAATGGAATATGGATGAATTTCTTATGCCAGGTTGAAACTTAATGAATCGTTTTGTGACAGCTCATGTTTTGCCTGTCTAAGAATATTTTGTTTCGCCCTTGAAACCCAGAGTCCTGAGAGAGCAATGGATCCGGGCTAAATACGAAAGGAGGGAATTCACAGCAGAAACCAAGTATCCACCACTTTCATATACCACAGGTGAAATTTTCACTGTTTTTTAAAGCGCATGTCTACTGCAGGACATAAATCTTTATCAGTCTGTTGGTGTAAAACAAATACAAACAATGTGGTTCCTCAAACACATGCAGAACTGTGGAAAAAAAAGTCTGTTCTTTGTACAATGAAAGAGTCAATCTTTGCAAAAAATGTTCTGCTATGTAACCAAAATAACTTAATTTCTGAGTGAGATCTGCGTGCACTGAAGCACCTGTGACTCTGTAGATTTTGTTGGATTGATACCAGGTTTCTATGAGGGAATGCTGTGGAAGAAAGGAAAAGAGAACACGCAGTTTCTGAAGAGGAAGTTTGTGCTGTCAGAGAGAGAATTTACCCTAACTTACTTCAACAAGGAAAATGTGAGTTCCCCGCAGCTCCGTCACAGTTGAACTACACTGTATGACAAGAATGAACAACATGTTTCCTCTTGAAACAATTAAATTCCTTATTACTACAAGATGTGGAGTTAAAATTAATATTATATTTGTGTGATATAAATGCATGCGCACTGATTTGTTTTGATCTCATCCCTCTGTAATTAGTTTAGACAAAAAACAAACAAACAAACAAAAAACACACCAAGTTTCATGGCAATCTATCCAACAGTTCTTGAGATAGATGTGGACACATGACACACATGCTGCTAACATGGCTAAGAATAAAGGAACAAAGAGCAGCATGCTAATTCTATGTTTATATATTTGTGATCTAGGAGTCCAAAGGCCCTAAAGCTGTAATCTCCATCAAGGACCTGAACGCCACCTTTCAGCCAGAGAAGATTGGTCATCCTCATGGGCTGCAGATCACCTACCAAGAGGACAATCACACCAGGAACCTCTATGTTTATCACGAGAGTCCTGAGGTGGGACGGCATCCAAAGTATAAATAGCAGTAACCCAGCAGGTTTTTATAGTGATTGTCATACGGTAGCTTGTGGGCTGTGGAGAAGCTCAGGGTATCTTCTTCTGCTCTAGGAAATAGTCACATGGTACAACGCCATTCGTGCGGCTCGCTATGCATACCTGAAGACAGCATACCCGACTGGAAGCGATGAAGAGGTAAGCATCAAACCAAAATGAGAAAATGTTTGGTCATAGTCATCTTTCCTTGGATGTTGATGCTCTCTAAATATACACTAAGTAGCTGAAAAAAATAGCAGTTTATTCATAGTTAATGCATTGAACTTTTTACTTTCAGCAGGTTCAACAGCAGTAAGAGCAGAAACTTGCCTCCTTTCGCTTTTATGTTTATAAGCTTAACACACGTTTTACCTTTACATCTCTTTGCCAGCTGATACCAAAGATAACAAGAAAGTACCTCAAAGAGGGCTACATGGAAAAGACAGGGCCATTGGTAAGTTGTCAAAAAACACACATCCAGTTACATATAACTTATTTGTACATTTATTTATTTGTTATTGATTCATTACATTTATCTGTCGGCACCCAACTGCTACTTTGACTTATGCATGCATAGAGCTAGGCGCTGAGTTCACCAAAAGACTTATTTATGGCAGCAGTATGCCTGAACAGTACATTTGAATGTGTGTTTCTGTTCCTCTTAACACACACGCACACATTTGAATGACATTCTTTACAAGAAAGATAAAGGAATTGGGGAAATGGAGCTTGAGCAGAAAATGTTTAAATATATACTGTAATTTTTCATGTAAAGTATTTACATTAAATGTGGTTTTTAACAGCAAAAGGAGCCATTCAAAAAGAGATGGTTTATTTTGGATTCTCAAAACAGGAAGTTGCTCTACTTCAAAGGCCAGCTGGTAAGGACGAATCCTCCTCTCATTCTAACCCATGCTGTGCATTGCTGCTGTAATGATGTTTCTCAAGAGCCACCGTTATGTTTGACTGTTTATGTGTTCCCATCATTGTGAATGTAGGATGCCCAAGAGTTAGGAGTCATTTTCATAGGCACAGAGAGCAACGGTTACTCTGTGAAGGAATACGTCCCAAAGCACGCTCGGGGAAACAAGTGGAAGTTTGGTGTTATGGTGGAGACGCCCGAGCGACAGTTTGTCTTCATGTGTGAGCAGGAGAGGGAGCAGAGAGAGTGGCTGGATGCCCTCAGACAGGTCCTGTCCAGACCCATGGCACCACAGGATTATACCAGTAAGTACGGCTAGAAAATACTGTAAACATGTGAACAATGTACAGTGCACAGATACACAAGTGGTTTTCATATTCACACCAACACAAACACACATAACGATTCCTGTCATGTGATGCCTTGAATCTCAGAAATGTAATGTTTTGAAAAGCTTTGATTTTAAACATTTTTGAATCTGTCCAGTTGGCATTAAACCCCTTTGTGTTCCCAGTTGAACATGTCTCAACTTTAGCCATGCCAAACACAATAACAGTATTAAACAGCTCAGCATAAACTGAACTATCTTCATTCAGTATTTTGTAAAGTAAGTTAAACAAACAGAATAATGTAATCCTCCTAAAGGTTCTAGGTTTTGCTCTTCCTGTAACTGATGGTGTCTATGCCTCGCGCCTGAAGAGAAATACAGCTTCCTGTGTGATTATAGTCTTTCACTTGACAGGATTCACAAGATGACAATTTTATATTTATGGTGCCTATTTAGCATGGTGCATGAATATGAAACTGATCTTGGTGCTAGTTAAAAAGTAAAGGGTTCACCAAAGTTATTACAATTCATCCTGAGAGGGACATGAATGTCTGTTCCAAAATTCATGGTAATCCATCCAATAGGTGTTGAAAGATTTCACATAAAACCACGAAGGTCAAACTCATGGTGGTGCTAGAGGAAAAGTCAGTGGATCACCAGAGACATTATGATAAACCATCTTGAAAGAATTCTGTACAATTATATGTCACTGGATATATGATAGCTTTGAGCTGCTGGGTGCACAAATTGGACAGTCAAGGGAGCATCAAATTCAATCTAATTCATCCTGAAGGGAACATGAATTTCTGGACCAAATCTTCTGCCAGTCAATCCAATAGCTGTCAAGGGATTTCACTAAAAACCAAAAATGTCAACCTGTGCTAGAGAAAAAACCATGGTGAAAACAAAAATTCAGGACTCATCCTCTGGGGACCACAGATTTCTGTTCATAATTTTAGGGCACTCCATCTAGTGGTTGTTGAGATATTTCAGTCTGGCCAAAAGTGGTATACCAGCCGCTAGACCAATACTGCCATCCATAAAGAGGTGGTGCCTGATAAAAAGCATCTACCTGCTACCTGCTCCAGGTTTTACTCTTCAAAGTTAGTCCAGGTAATGCAGTAAACCTACTGCAGTGGGAACATGCATCTGTACTCTCATATGTGTTCATGCTTGCATTAAACTGTGCACAGCACCACAGAAAGTCGTCATACTTAACCACTCAACCATTGCATTATGTGTATGTACGACCCCACTCTGATCCTCTTGTTTCTCATTCCAGTTCAAGCCAACATAAGGTATAAACGATGAGCTGCAGAGAGGTGTGTCCACAGGATGATGGTGAGGAGAATGCAGCGTTTGAAAACACAAGTGACTGAAAGTGGCTAAACTATTGCAGCACAACAGATGAACAGTGACTTACTTGTTCACCATGTTGCTCCCAGTACTGACTTACCGACCCTCATCCTTGTGTGATAGTAAAACATCTGTGGATTAACTTTCATACACTGACTTGAACTGACACAGGATCTGATGCTAAATCACACACTTCAGAAAGTACTATCATTATGTAAAATCACTCTTATGACCAAATATACACTCCTTTCACTAGATAAACACTGTCATATAGTAACAGAAAAAAGGCTACAATAACTGCATATTATTATACTATTTTTATGATGTTCCTTAATTTTTTATATTTTAAATTTCCTAATGAATAAGCATATAATTTTACATTTGGGAGTGAACAGGTTTTGTGATATTCTACCCAGAAAAATAAATAAATTGTTTTGTAAATAACGTGTGTGGTTTGATTCATAGACTACACTTAAGTTAAAAGCATGTTCGTTAAAATTGGTTTCCCAGTTTTCTGAATTACAGACTTTTCTCTCACTTCCATTTGTGACATCAGATTTTTACATGTGCACACTAACAGCTTTTGTAAATGTCATTTTTTAGCATACATGACTTCAGCAACACTTGGAATTTTATTGAATAATAAATCAGAATTGTGTTACTGTAACATGGTTTTTAACTTTGTTGCTTTCGTGATGAATGAGGGTTTATTATTATTTATGTACATGTTACCAGCTTAGTGACTCTAGGGAAGATTTATTTATGAGTGAATAGTCAATTTTAATTAATTTCTTTTACTACTAATAGAAAAAAAAATTGCAATCGCCTGTTCCACCTTCAGTACAGTCGGTGGCGGTAATGCACCTCTAAGCAAGTGTGCCAAGTGTCAATAAACACCAAAGAGGAAGAAGGACCAGATAACGCGTTTTGAAATGTCATGTGAAATTTGACCTGTATTGCTTGCCGTAGTTGCCGGGTACTGGAGGTCGGGCATGCCCATGAAACATCCATTGCGAAATGCTAAGAAGTAAGCGCCAAAAAGAGCGTGATTAACATGAAATTACAGACACATGTGCCGCAGACGACTTTTTAAATTGCATATCTGCCGAGCCGAGAAGTCACAAGTTGAGACGAAAGCGCATAGAAAGCACGAAGGAGCATCCGAAAACTGTCCGTCCGTTTTGTCCTACAAAGGCGCCGGGAGTTTGACAGCGGCAGGACGCGAGTGCGCAGGCCCGACGGTTAGGTAAACTGCTGGAGGGGGACTACATGAAAGAATAAAAACTCTCCCTTTTCTGTAGAGGAAACAAAGCTCCAACATGAGGAAGGACGTGAGGATACTACTTGTAGGAGAACGTAAGTAGCAGCTGTCCTTTATCCCGAGGCGGTTGAATGCTTTATTAGCTGACATGCTAGTGAAAGTGAGAGAGCTAATGCTACTGCTAGCAGACGAAGTGAATGAATCTAACTGTGATCATATTTGAACCGAGAGGCCGAGAAATTCAGCGGGACAGTCTTCGAAAGTCATTCATAGTGACTGTAAATCATCCTAAATCTGAGGAGAATAATTATCTGGTGCTTTCACGTCAAGTGCCTGGTGTTGGTAACCAGTTAAGTATAAATCACATGGTTCATAATAGCTAAACGATATCTCACCAGTGTTTCCATGTGCTGACATGTCCAAACATTCAGCCTACTGCCTCCCATAACCAGACATAATCTGAGGATGAGGCAGCCACAAACAGTGGTTTTACATATAATGATATGAAAATCCCTGGTGTAACTGGCTAAGTGGTTCTCTTTCAAAAACCAAATGTGATAAGCATTAAGAAGGTCATATTTACTGCAGGGCTGCTATATTGGACTTGACTAGGCTGTAGAGGAATACCTAATATAACAAAAATCAACAGGAAAAAAAAAGGAATGGAAATGCAATGGAAAAATAGATGATAGCAAATAAAATTTTATTCTACAGTATAAAATGCAAGTATAATTAGAACTGGGCCTGCAGAAAATTATCATTGTCATCATTGATTAATTTGTTGATTGTTTTCCTCATGAAGGATTTGGTCTTGCAAATGTCAGGAAAAAGTGAAAAGCTACAATTTCTCACATCACATTTTCTAAAAGCCCAAGGTGATGCCTTCACATTCCTTGTTTTGTTTGATCAGTAATAAAAACCCCAAAGATATATAGATTGCTATCAAATAAGATAAAAAAAATGCAGCAAATCCTCTTAATTGAGAAACTGGAACAAGAGAATGTTTCAAATTGTGTTTTAATAATTAACTTAAATGCTTGATCGATTATCAGAATAGTTGCTGATTAAGTTTCCTGTTGATCGATTAATCGTTTCAGATCTAGCTGGCACAGCGATGACTGTATATAATTATTGGTCATTAGTTTGAGATCATAATATTTTGACCTTTTTTATTGCTGGAGTGAGAGCAGAATTATGCCAAAAAGGCAAACAGTCAAATCACGTCTTAACCTGGTGTATTTGTTCTCTTTAAACAACATGTGTTGTTAGGACTATTTATATATCAGTTGTGGCTATGCAGGATGGCCTACATCGCCACATTAGGCGAGTTGATAGGTACTGACTATTCCTGAGAGAGGTGCAGCCAAAATGCTACGTGCCAACTTCAGTGTTGTGAAGTTCAGTAGAGTACAGTTTGTCAGGGGACTTAGCTATCCTGTTAAGATACTGACACTAGTGGCAGTGCAGACAAGGGCTGCAATTATTATTATGCTTTTTTTCCATTTTTCCATATTGATTTAATCTGTTGACTATTTCTTTATGTAATTGTTTGATCTACAAGACGTTAGAATAAGGGCCAGTTCCCTGAGGGAGCTTGTAATAAGATTTACTTATTTAGTGATTGGGGTATATTTTGTTGTGGTGGCACACCATTAGTATCTAGTAAAAATGTAGGGTAATTACTGAAATAGGAACAGCTTGCACACTGCAGGACTCCATTTTTCACTTATTTATTGCACCGAAAAGCCAGTGACATTTCAAGCACCACTTCAGTGTGCGAGCTGTTTGTTTGTGTCTTATTGTTTGCTCATTTTCTGGCTTGAATGTGCATGTAGATATCGATTTTGTAATTTCTGAAATGGAACAATAGTTGCCTTAGTGTAAAGGCTCTGTATTTTCCAGTGCAACAAAAGAAACTATGGAAAGTTGTTGTAATGCACCTGTTGAAATATTAGGTCAACACTTTGACCAATTTATATATGTGTAATTGCACACTCTGTTTCTCCTCCTTGTATTGTGGCTTTGTTTTGTGCTTGAATTTATTGGGTGTATGTTTAAGACCTGGGACTCATGGCTGCTGCTCTTCAGCTACTTTTATCTGTTCCCTGTCACTCAACACAATACACAATAAGATGTTTTTTCTTTGCCCTTTTCCTGTGTGCAGCCAAAGTGGGGAAGACATCGCTGATTATGTCTCTGGTCAGTGAAGAGTTTCCCGATGAGGTATGTATCAACAGACCATCAGACTGATGGATATGGTAGAAACCATCCTGGTAGCTGTGAAGTGTACACACACATCCTGAATGTATCTTTAGGTTGGACAGTTAATATTGTAGATTTGGCTGACTGCTCTTCAGAGATGTCAGAGTAATGAGGGTAAAATGTTGAAAATACAAGATAGAGTCTTGCTTGTTGTCATCTAAAGGATCATGGATTGTCTTCTGTCCTCCAGGTTCCTCTCCGAGCTGAGGAGATCACCATCCCAGCTGACGTCACCCCAGAGAGGGTGCCCACACACATTGTGGACTACTCAGGTAAACCCTACCCCACTACACACACACACACACACACACACACACACACACACACACACACACACACACACA